GATGTAGATCGTCTCAGTCATGATGAGACCTCGGCAATGCAAATTGATTGGTGCATACTGCTTGACGGTAAGAGCATCCATTATCAATAGTGCTTTAGCTTCACCAATGTATCTATCAGTCGTGCAGCATAAATTCACACGTATAGTTCTCCCTGCAGATGAAAAAAATTGTCATCACCATTCCTTGAGGTACAATACTAGACATACATCAAGTTTTTAAACAACCTCTATCCTGAATTATATTATGGAAGATAAACTGGATATTTTCGTGTACCAATATGTCAGCATAAATTACATGTATTATGTTGCCAAAAAATAAAAATAAAATTGTAAAGCCCCAAATTATTCTCATTGAGGGCATCCTACCTACAATGCATGGTGATAACTTTTTCAAGTTCCATCATATCAACGAAATACCAGGATGTATTATCTTTTAGGGACACATAAAGGGTTCTGTTTCATACAATGCCGACCTACCTTAACTATTTTACTAAACCCATTTTGTGAATTGCACAATTGTTTAATGGTCTCAGAATTGAAGGACAGTCCCTTCTTGGAAATAAAGTTGAATTGTCAGCAACATTTTGATGAAAGCCTTTTCCAATGAAAAATAGTAACAAATCAGTTACTGATTATTAGTTCTTCAACTTAAAATAATGTCATGTATTGTTTTTCAGAATTATGCTTTGCGTTAAAACACAACTATAGCGAAAATCAACTCAGTTTGACAGTTCACCATGTGCATCCTCTGCAGCTTTTGGTTTGTTTGGTGATTTACAAAAACAATAATTGGGAGCTTATCTGTATAATATTTTATTCATAAGTAAATGTCCTCAAACTGGTGGAGTGACTTTATTAACCCCTGGTAACATCTAGTGTGACAACATTTTAGTTAATTTTCTGTTTTTAGTAAAAAAAAAATGGCTATTTTTGTCCTAATCTTTTGAAGGAAAGTACAGACTATAAATGGTCAATTTTCTAAATTTGTGATGAAAACAGGGAACTGGTGGTGAAAAGGTTAGACACTACTTTATTCAGTTCATTTAATTAAAAATATAGTGTCATTATCTATTTGTCAAACTACACTGAGTTTCAATGTCACCTAGGAAAGTACAACATGTGTGATGTAAAAGTAAAAGGGTCATTCTATAAATGATGCAGAACTGTATAGAAAACAAATTAACAAAGACCATCTTAATGGCAATTTTGTGATATGCTCAAATCACTGACCAGAAAACCCTACATATGATTTAGTAACTTGATGATGCTTTAATATAACTCAATAATCAAAGAAAGCTTAGAAAGAACTCCCGTGTGCTGAGAGTATTGAAGACACATTAAAAATTAATTCAAAATTACATATACATTGAGATATTGATGGAATAGATGAAAACTAATTATGTAAATCAGGTAACTGGTATGAACAGATTTGAGTGTAAAACTAATAAGGCCTGCATAATGTAATATCTATGTACCAAGTTTCATTGAAATGTGATTAGAACAAAAAACTATGAATTATTATTAGAGAATTAATATGAACAAATTTCAACCCAAAATTAATCGGGCCTGTTTATTGGTCTACAGCATTTATGTACCAAATTTTATTCAAATGTGATGATCAGTACCCGTAAAAACCCTCAAATAAGAGCCACTTTGTAACACTTTCATTTCTGGGTGGTGCTTATTTGAGGTAACATTTTGACAACTTTGTAGCCAGTGGCTCTTAAACCAGGGTGATCAAACTTTTTCATTGTGAA